AAGAAGAGTATCTTTTCTAAATAATAGTTTAATACTTTAGAAGATATTATTAGCCTTTACCTCTAGCTCTATAAGCTCTATAGTGAGATAAAGAGTCTAGGAGATAAGTCTTACTCTAGGCCTACTAGTAGAAATAGATCTATCTAAAAGCAAATAGGGGATACATTGGACCCTCGCACTAAGTAGTGTGTCCTCTCCAAACACGTCCTATTTTTAGGACAGCTAAGAGAGTGGAGCCCCATATTTATTCGGTAATAAGGTATGTAGTGGCACGTATGTGTGGACATATTTTCAAAACATGACATTATAAATATGTGCCTCGCCATTAAATCACTTGTGTGTACACGCTAGGATAGGAGCTATGTATGTTGCTGGCAACTGCTAACTAGAATGACAGAGTCGCAAGTGGGGGATCAAGCCAGAAACAGAGAAATTTTCGTGCCTGGTGGTGAAGATCGCCCGATAAATTTAGAAACCGGAGAGGAGCAGACAAGTTAGGTGGACCCTACATGAAGTTCATCTGGGCGTGCAAGCTCCACTCCCCTTTAGAAGGCAGCGCGACCAGTGCGACACCCCTGCATTTGCGAGTTGGCCCCAGCCAGCATGAAACAGTTTGTTGCGCCTGTTGAGTTTATTGGTTGAACTCCAAGAACAAGGTGGCACCATTTCTTAGACTCGTGGGCAATCTCTGAACTCTTAAGTTCGCATTACTAATGTTCATATCACTCCTGTTCAAGTACGTTAAATACAGGCTAGAACGCGGCCTTCATTCACACTTTAAATGACACTTGCATAGTTCACACAATAGCTAAGCTCCCAATTTCACCCCAAAAACGTGATAGAACAAATGAGAATATCACAAAGGCTATTAAAGGTCTTATATAAAGAGGTAATAAAATAAGTAGTCATTATAATGCTGATGTCTACATTATAGTGCGACAAAACAGCTGACATTAGGACTATAACTCTTCTAATAGCTCATTGTTCCCCCCTTCTCGGGTAATAATTATAAGCGACCTTAACCTAGGTCTACTTAGCGCTTTGTGTGCTAACTTTGTTGTACATAGGAATAAGCCTATCCACTCACTGTGAGGAGATCTCCAGCAAGCTTCCAGCATACCCAGAATGCCATGTCCTCGTCCTCTTCTTCCAACCCAACCACTGGTCAGACAAGCTCAGGGGATGGGGATTTTAGCTGGAACTAGCTAGAATTAGATTGATTGATTGAATGATTTAATCTTACTCGTTTCCAGCCGCTCTCTAACTCCGAAAGTTGGTCCATTGTGGGTGGATGGTGGCTGCACGTGACCTAATTTGGAGCAATCAGAAACCGGGATTCGTCACAATCTGTAAAGCGATCTGCACCAGTTTCTCCGGTAGGCCTGCGTGTGGTTATATAATCTCGCAGTCCGCTCCCAAATGTCCTTGCCCCCCGTGGAAGTGGACGCTTTCTAGAAGACCAGTCATCTGCGAGTGCCTCGCTTACCAGCAGCGTTGTTCGTTACGAATGGAAGCACGGGCAACGATATCCTAGCTACCAAGCAGGGTAGTACGGCTTTCCTTAACGACGCGACGGAACAAGAACGCCTAGACATGCTACACCGTGTGATTTGTCCCCCACTCGATGACCAGCTCGTACAAGCGCCGACCGATCCCAATGGGCTCAACATCCTCGACATTGCTACCATCAGTGCAACAACCAGATCCCAGAAATCGACCTGGGCCCCCAAGTGGGTGACATTGAAATTGAGACACTCAAACATTAAGCTGCTTATTCTCAAGTCTGCGACCGGTATTATCAGATGATTGAGTCCTAATAATATATAAAACTATACGTGTTATTTATTTTCTCTTATTTTATACTACTAAAATTCTCTATTTATTGCCGAAAGTAGTCGATTAATAACAAACTCTTCCACTAGGTGTCTCATTTCTCATATCCCCCCACTTGGCCCCATCCAACCATGATGGACCCCACCGAACGTCAAATTTATCGTCGACGATATCGAGGCGGACTGGGCGGAGCCAATTCAAGATGACGACATTCACTGCCGGTAGCTAAATCCATCAAAGAATGGCCACGACTGCTGAGGCAGATATATGATAATTTGAAGCCAAAGAGTATGGGAATTTCGTCAACACGTTCTACTCAAGAGGATGATTCTCTTGAATCGGATAACCCGCTGATGCAAATGATGGATCACCTCAAGAATACATGCGCACAGGTCGGCTGCACAATGGATCATACACTCCAATTTCGAACCTAGGCCAAGACTACGGGCCCCATACACATCACAGAGGAACGGTTCAAATTGCTCGTTGGTGCGCAGCCAAAAAAATCACAGCTTGAAGAGATCAGCACACTTATGGGCACCAACGTGCATGATGGAGTGTCAGCGCTCACTGCTGTTTTGGTCATTAATGTTTTGATATAGTCAAGCGAGGAGGCAGGACTGCTTCTAGTGCCTGAGCCCCAAGCCTAAAGCACGGTTGGCGTAGCGCGTAGTTGCCGCCGTCCCTCTAGACAGGAACGGCCGCTCCTGATGCCTAGATCAGCGAACTTATCTGCCAGCAGAGAGCTATCAATGCAATAACGAAGCCGGCAATGTGCAAAAAGTCCCTGGCCGTGAGTGGTGGTGGCTCCTCTGCCCGTAAGTTAAAAGATTCCAGTAATGCGAGCATTGTCCGATCCTCGTTGTCCTGAGCCGCCATTCGCAAAGTCTGTCCAGTAGAATCAATGACATTCCGTTCCACACCTGCCCGGTTGCAAAGATGATGAACTACGTCATACCGCCCGTTGATGACAGCCAGGAATAATGGCGTCCGCCCCAAGTGATCTCGGCTATTAACATTCACGCCTTCCAGATTAGCGAGAAAGGATACAGTAGCAGTATGCCCGTACCAAGCAGCATAGGCGAGTGCCGTCCAGCCTTTCAGATCCCTAGATCCCGGATCTAACTAGGCTATGCTGAGGAGCAGACGCACTACACCTTCATAACCCTTCAATGCAGTCCATGATAATGTCGTCCTGCCATGTTTGTCTCTGGCACGCAGATCTACCCGCATCTCTTTTGCTAGGACAGCCACCACTTCTTCGCATCTGTGCATTGCCGCTGCTATGAACGGAGTTTTCCCGGTATCGTCGGGGCGGTTGATGTCGATCGTTGGAGCTGCCAGAAGGAACTCAATAGTCGAAACGTGTCCCTGTGCTGCCGCAATCCAGAATGGAGTTCGACCCCATTTATCGCTGTAGTTCAACTCGACGCCTGGTGTGTCGAGCAATAATCCCGCTGTCCCAGTCTGTCCTCTTGACACCGCGCCGTAGAGCGGAGTCTGGTATTAACGATTCTTTCCGGTCGGATTGACGCGGTTTGTGGCAAGAAGCCGCCTTACTATAGATGCTTAGCCGCATCTCGCCGCCCAAAAGAGTGCTGTCTCGCCCTCTCGATCACATTTGTCGGGATCTTCTCTAGGGTCAGAGAGGAGTAGTTCCACGATAGCGTCATGTCCATGCCTCGCTACTAAGGAGAGCGGGGTCCAACCCCACGCATGCGCCTCAACATTGAAACATACAAGCGCGGGCTGGTAGACCAGGAAAAAATAGCGACATGTGAGAGTCAAAGCGCGCAGGGGTTCGGCCAGAAGATAGCGGCCGATCAAGGCCAGAATCTCGCTGGGTAGATCGGAGAGTAACATATTCTCATGGCTGCATAAGCTTAAAGGATCAAAAGACAACGAGCCACGACAGTAGCTTTTAGCCTTAGTGGGCCCGGGCAGGAATCAACACAGCATTGCACCTCGTATGCGCACTAGTCAACCATAAGGTACGGTTTGCGTAGCTAGGACCTTCCATACTTACCCTATAGCGGAGCCAAACCACTGGCCTAACATGCTCCGTAGTCGTATATACATGGTGAGATCCGAGGTTCTTCCGGTCTTCAATGGCTTCATCGTGGGGTGATAGGCGGGGATCTCGATTTTACTATGCTGTCCCAACCGTGCTCTTCGTTAGCTCTATTCCCTATGGCTCCGCTCAACGGCGTGTTCACGCCTGAAATTGATACAGCTCCGAAAGAAACCCACCGATGCCGGGACAGAAAAGTAGTGAGGAGCGCGAACGACGCGCCAAATCACCGACAATCCAAATCCGAGCCTCCTCTAACACCACCACTACACCACCAGGGAGGAGCGAGAGTCCCTAACCGTACGCCCCGCGATAGAAATGAGAATTGGCTCTCCCATTTGCCCACCCGACTTCAGTTCACGGCTTCGGACAACGACAGGTACGCGACAGACGCGAAAGAGCAGATGGACATTGCGAGAGCACCTTCGCTACGACCACCACATGGATTTCATACTTCGACATAACCGATCACTGCTGACGCGGGCGATGCGTCGGAAGCAAACTCTAGCCTCACGAAACATCGAATACTACAATTCTGGTACAGTAAAGCATCCCCAAAAGCCTTGACAACATAGCGTGACCAGCCGGAATTTCTTTATTCCTCTAATTACGTAAGCTGGATAAGCATGCAACAACAGGGATTCGCCTGCATTTGCGAACTTCTAAGTTCGCATTTCCAGCGCAACCTCTATATGCAAATTTGAGTGGTAGATAATTGATCCTTAGCATGCATACATATGTATACACATATACATATGTACATACATACAATTTGGAACATAATTGCATAGCTTCCGCCCAGTTGTCTGTATATTTACATTGAGAAGAGAGCACAGTGGGGCGCAGGTTCAGCGGCACTGATCTGTTATTAAAACTTTACTGAAAACGGCCAAAAATGTACAAACCGTGACGCATGCACAATGCGTGGCTCGTGCGAATATGAGCACCTTAGTATTTAAGGTACTAAAATATACCTTCATGAACTATTCCTAGCTGTCTATCTCTTCATTTAGACAGTGGTTTCGTTAATAACCTATCCTACTGCTTGATACATGATCTATACTGGTAAATATTGATGCGGGTAAACTGAGGAAACCTAGTTGGTTCTGCTGGCCGCAATGGAGAATCCGCCGGTTGAAAAGTAGATGGGGGCGTTGCTCACTCCAGCCTGAACGCCCTGGTTATAATCTCCAAATGTAGACGTATTGGCTACACATCCTTGATCTTTACGAGCATCTACAGCTGCCGCCTGGATACCCTTCAAAAGCTCTTCAAGTAGCTCAAGAGACTTTTCCAAGGCAAACTTCTCAACTTCCACCTGACTAGTCGCACTGGCCTGGTCGGGATCCTCCTCATCTTCATCTTGCGCTGCCACATGAAGGTCTTCCAGCTTGGTCCTCACCTCGTCTAGCTGTTTCTTGGCTGTGGTAATGGCTGCTATGATCTCCATTTCCTTCTTTGATATCATTTGCGTCATTTCTTCGGCCACTTTCGTCTGCTGAAGCGAGCTATGTCTATTTCTCCTTAGATATATTATCATTTACCCGGCTGGGAAGGCAACTTACAGTGTTGCAGTACTGACAACCGAAGTAAGCGTCATCTTACAGTTCTGGAGTTGGGTTGATGTAGACTTGATCTGGTCCTGTCTGAACAGGCCAATCATTGCCCGATCCCGCCAAGATAGCTTTCCATCAGCACTATGCATGGTCCAGCGATCGATTGCTGCTTGAAACTTGCTGGAAGACTTTTTGCATAGCTTCAGCCCAGTCTCCGATTGGACGACCACAGCCTTGCCTAACCACTCCCACTGTTGATCAGATATGTTTTGAACAGAAGTGATAGCCTGCTCAATGGTAAGCAGGTCTTCTCGGACCGATACAATATCGTTGGGTGCATTCAAAATGCTCTCAAGGTCATTTCGCAAATGCCGTACGCATTGCAAGGCTGGGACGGCAACGCCTGCAACGCCTGCTGTGATGCTCAGAGGGTTCATCGTGAAGAGAAAGACCATGTGGTGGTGGTGGCGGATCAATCTCGAGACGCCCGAAAGGGGAAGAGAGGGGAAACTGAGATCAGGCAGTCATCACGTGCACTTGCAGCCCAAAACTGTCATCAACTAGTAGTAGGCCATCTCGACATCGCCGAAACAAAAACCTCATCAACAACTCAAATATGTCTGCTGGAAGCTTCTACACATCCAATGGTGACCAGAATCTTGGCATTCAGGTGGTCCAGAATAATGCACCGATCAACGCCGAGATCCATGTCCCGCTAGGTAAGGTTATTGCTGGTTATAGGAGTCGGCTCCGCTGACAGGGCTCCAGAGCCACTAGAGCAGACCCCGCAGCCATTCGCCTCGATTCCTTTCCGTCCTGATTGTGCCTTCGTCGACCGCGGAGACATTCTCAGCCAAATCCATACTCGCTGCTCCGAGCCGGCCAGTCGTGTTGCTTTAGTCGGCCTCGGTGGTGTTGGGTATGTTTAGACGGTGAATCCCTGACAAGTGACGAAACTAACTAGAGGGCAGCAAATCCCAGCTAGCTATAGAATTTGCACACCGAATCAAGGAAGCCTCGACCGATACATGGGTATTCTGGGTCCATGCTGCCACACCCGCTCGAATAGTGGAAGGCTTTAAAGGGATTGCTGATAATGTCAAGCTACGGGGTCGCAATCAGCCGAAAGCCGACATCCTCCAGCTCGTTTATAACTGGCTATCGGCGGAACAACATGGCAAATGGCTTATGATTTTAGACAGCGCTGACGAATATAATGTGATGTTCGGCGCAAACAAATACACGAGCGATGGGCGGCCATTAGCGGACTTTCTACCGCAGAGCCAAAATGGATCTATCATCCTTACCACACGCAACAGGAACCTGGCTTTCCGACTGACTGGCGATTACTCAACAATATTCGACATCGGCCCGATGACAGAGGAAGAAGCTCTAATGCTCTTTAAGAATAGAGCTGGCTCGCTGTCAGATGTTGATGATGCGGCGCATCTCGTGAAGGTACTTGACCTTATCCCGCTAGCCGTCAGCCAGGCCGCGGCCTACATACGAAATAGGGCGCCACACAGGTCTATCAAGCAGTATATGGACAAGTTCCGAGAGAGTGAGGGCAAAAGAGCAAAGCTTCTTAGTCAGGATGCTGGCGATTTACGTCGAGACCTTCGCCAACGCCAGGATGGAGCCGCGTCGAATGCCATCTTGACGACATGGCAAGTGACCTTCGAGTGTATCCGCTCCGAACGACCATCGGCTGCAGATCTCCTTTCACTTATGAGCTTCTTCGACCGGCAGGGGATTCCAGAATCTCTGCTAAAGCCATCGAAAAGTACCAGAGATGTTGCGCACATAAGCAGCCTGGAAGAGACAATCGACTTAGAGTCGGGTGGCTCTAGTGATTGCGATATTGACGGCGATTTCGAGGACGACATAGCGACACTTAGAGACTACTGTATGATTACATTAGCCGACATTGAGAATACGTTCGAGATGCATGGGCTCGTGCAGCTATCAACTAGGAGATGGCTGAAAGCCTATAAGCGTCAGGAATATTTCCTGAATCAGTACGTGACATTGATGACTGATTCGTTCCCAACTGGGGACTATAGGAATTGGAAGACGTGTCGCACACTCTTTGCCCATGTGGAAGTAACAATGGAGTATCGGCTAAGGGAGAAGAGTGTCAAGGAGAAGTGGGCCAATCTCTTATATAATGGAGGATGGTATGCATGGTTGCAAGGCAGGTACACCGTCGCAGAACGGATGGCCCGCAGAGCAAAAGAGACGAGGGAAGATATTATGGGAAGTGAGAATGTAGAGACTCTAGCAAGTATATCACTGCTTGCGAGGATTCTCTCGTATAAAGGGTCATATACACATGCCGAGAAGCTTGAGGTGCAAGTGATAGAGACTTGTAAGAGCAAGTTGGGGGCAGATCATCCTAATACACTAACCAGCATAGCCAATCTTGCATCAACATACACGAGCCAGGGCCGATAGGATGAGATAGAGAAGCTGGAGGTGTAAGTGATAGAGACTTATAAGAGCAAGTTAGGGGCAGATCATCCTAATACGCTGACCAGTATAGCCAATCTTGCATCAACATATAGGAAACAGGGCCGATAGGAAGAGGCAGAGAAGCTATTAGTGTAAGTGATAGAGACCCGCAAGAGCAGGTTAGGGGCAGATCATCCTAATACACTAACTAGTATGAATAATCTTATATTAATATATAGGAAACAGGGCCGATAGGAAGAGGCAGAGAAGCTATTAGTGTAAGTGATAGAGATTAGTAAGAGCGTATTAGGGGCAGATTATCTTAATACGCTGACCGGCATAAATAATCTTATATTAACATTTTAGAACCAGGGCCGACAGGAGGAGGCAGAGAAGCTATTTATATAAGTGATAGGGACTTATAAGAGTAGGTTAAGGGTAGATCATCCTAATACACTAACTAGTATAAATAATCTTACATTAATATATAGGGATTAGGGCTAATATAAGGAGGTAGAGAAGCTATTAGTATAAGTAATAGAGACTTATAAGAGAAGGTTAGGGGCAGATCATCCTAATACGCTAGCTAATATAAATAATCTTATATTAATATATAGGGATTAGGGCTAATAGGAAGAGGCAGAGAAGCTATTTATATAAGTAATAGAGACTTATAAGAGCAAGCTAGGGGCAGATCATCCTAATATACTAACTAGTATAGCTAATCTTATATTAATATATATAAGATAGGGCTAATAGGAAGAGGTAGAGAAGCTATCTATATAAGTGATAGAGACTTATAAGAGTAAGCTAGGGGTAGATCATCCTAATACGCTAACTAAGTATGAATGATCTTATATTAATATTTTGGAACCAGGGCTAATGGGAGGAGGCAGAAAAGCTATTTATATAAGTGATGGAGACCTACAAGAGCAGGTTGGGGGCAGATCATCCTGATACGCTGACCAGCATGAATAACTTGGCTTATACTTGGAACTCTATGGATAAGGACACCGAAGCTATCGACTTGATGCAAATGTGCATTCGCTTTAGCAAGATTAAACTAGGAGTGGACCATCCACGTACACGATCATCAGTCCTAGCTCTAGCTAGTTGGCAAAATTAACTAGTGTACGGCAGCCAATTGAAGCTATTCTAAGATGCATGCATCTCGGTGCAGTTCTCAGTGCAGTAGAGGAACCTAATCATATGGCTTAAAATGCGCGGCTCTGTTCTCAATTGAAGGTCTAATAGAGATAGCCTTATTTCTCAATCTTGCCTACATAAGGGGCCCAAAGAAAGCAATCACAAATTAGTAACACTGATGAAATCGTGTATTATGATATCTCTTTCCGACCTCTTGTATATACGCCCTATCTAATCGGGTAAGCTGACCTAAGGAGAATCTGCCTTAGTTATATAGCGTAGGACTAGATGTTCTTAGGCGCTAAATCACAGATTCCTATCCCCCTTTCCTAAAGTAGTATCTAGGCTGAACTCTTTGTATTATTCTATCTATATAATGTATATTATAAGAAGACTCTATTTCTTTTCCCTACTTCCGCTAATTACCTGCCTTCTACTATTAGGAAAAATAGGTGTTTATATCTACCCTTTATTTAGAAGACACCTAATAGCTCTCACTATAATTACTATAATTTATAGTATATACTACTAAATTAAGTAGTCTTAGCTATTTATAACTTCACTATAATATATTAATTAACTAGTATAGAAAGAAAAGCCTTATATACTTATTAATTATTTTCTTATAGATAATAGTATCTATTTAGTGTCTTTATTAAGCTTGTAGTCTCCTACTATATATTTTATAAAAATCCCCTCATTCTAACTTATTCTAAAAGTTTAGAGTCCTACTAGTATATAGGACCTAGGCTCTACTTACTTTATCTTATTCTACCCTGCTTAAAATCTTGCACCCTTTGCTATAACTCTATTCGACTAGAATTAAGCTAGAAAGCCTGCCCTGGTAGACTAAGCCTATATCTATAAACCTCCTATAATATAAGATATAATTCGACCTGCTTTATAGAAGGAGTATAATTAAGGGTATTAAATAAATATATATTAGTAGAATTATTTAGTTAGAGCTAGTGATATTTAGTAGTATTAGATTTTAGAATGTCCTAGTTAATATATTTTATAAACCTAGTAAGGTGCTTTTTAGACTAATAGTAGTCTCTACTTATAGGTTCTATTAGCTAGAGATTATATATTCTATTAAGAGAAATATTAAAATTATAAAATAAGAGCTTAGATATAGCGTGAATATTAAACTTAATATTAGGGATAGACTTTAACTTAAGTATAGAGCGGAGTAATATATTACTATTACTTATTATAGATAAAGCTATAATACTAAGACGTTTTATATTAATTATGTAAAGTATACTAGTTAGTAGCACTAAGATCTATAGGTAAATAAGCTAGTCCTATATAATACTATAGGTATCTAAATAGATTAAAGGTAGCTTAACCTTAAGGCTATTAAGATCTTATTATAATCGATCTAGTTTCTTAATAGAGTTAATAACTATAGTAGATAGGCTACTATCCCTGTGTCTGGGAGGCTGTGTTAAATGACTTATATTTATTATAGTTATTAAGACACCCTGGCGATAGATAATTAGAGCGTTAGATGTAGAGGACACTGGTAAGGGAAATTATGGCTAGTATTATGCATAGTGGCTCTTTTTCTAAAATAAATCAACAGGTACCACCACAAGCCATAGCCCGATTTCGGAATTTAACTGGCCAGTGATTGTCCTGTTCTACTTAGTTGGCCTCCTGCATCACACCTCTATGCGTTGGTACCTAAAGATGTCTCGTCATTTTTCATCTTGCAGTCAGCCAACTTTTTTCAGAGCATGAATCATTTCTACATGCTTCTAACCAAACCACTAAGCAGCTAAGCTCAGGGGATGAGATTTAGCTGAGACTAGGTAGAATGAATTTCTATAAACAGGGGTCACTGTGATATATATCAGGATCACGTGTCGAATAAATTACTCATCAACTGGCTCGAATAACCAGAATTTCTTCATTCCTCTGACTACTATGTACATACCAATCTTCCATAAGAATTACATTATGTATGTTGCATTAACGGAGCGACGTTCGAAATATTCCTTACCGTTATCCGGTTGTCGCAGGGTAGGCATGTGCGCCGGAGTGACTTCGGATGATCTTCGGGCCTACATGATTGAGTTCTGAGGGGAATGTGCCGAAAACGCGCTTTTCCAAATTAATGCGCGCTTCAGTTCACACAAGATCTCATCGCCTCCAGAAAAAATTACGTTGGTAATCTACATGTTATAGGAAATGCACCACCAAATAATGTAACATCTCTACCAACAATCTCCCTGAATCTCAGCACGTAACAAGCCAAGCAATAAGTCAAGAAATAAGACCTTAACACTCCCCTCCTACTACTTGTTTCCTAACTTCATTAGAGGCAGGTTTTTCCCGCCCTACCATAGGTTTATTCCTACTAATATAAAGATAAGAAGTTTAAATGTTTTAGCTTTTAGATTATAGTAGCTATATTATATTAAGGTCCCTACTAATATAGTTATTTCTAAAACGGCTATTATACTATAGCTTAGATACTTTTTAAAGTATTTTATTAGATATTAAACTAAGTAATTATATAGATTTACCTTAGGATAAGGCTTTTTTAATATTAAATAAATCAGTAAGTAAAGTAACTAGTATTTAATTACTATCTCCTTTAGTAACTACTTCCCTAATCTAATATATCTTCTATATTAAAACTTAGCTAGAGGCTACCTTATATACTTTAAGGTATTACTATAAAACCTCTATATCTTTTTCTAGTTAAAGCTTCTCCCTATTACTTTTAGGGCTATTATCTATTATTAAGATCTCTAGGTATATATTTATATAGCTTATTATCTTTATGAAATAGTCTTAATGATTATTTAGAGCTTTATATATAAGTAATAGGGCTTTAAAACTACTATAGGTATCTAAAATAGTATAATTTAGATTAGTCTATAGCTATAATAATAGTTCCTAGTCTATTATAGATTTAAGATAAGAGCTTATATCTTTATATATATAAAGGTATTATTCTATAACTATTTTCTTATCTTAAAGATTTATATCTAGATCTAAGTTAGTATTAGAGGTCTTTATATTTCCTTTAATGAAAAACTCTATTTTCTTATTAATACGCTCTAGGTGAATATTAAGATTATATATAGTATCTTTAATAACCTTATTATACTCCTCTAAAACTTAATAGGATAGTCTAGAGGTTTACTTATAAGAAAGTTTTCTATAAGTGAATTAAGGCCTAAGGTTCTAAGGTAGATTAATATAGTAATAGTACTTAGTCCTACTAATATTATTAACTTATACCTTCCTAGGGTATCTATAAACTTATAGATATTACCTCTTATAAACTCTATCTTTACTTAATCCTAAAAACTAGTTTAAGATTTCCTACTAAATATACTTATTATAGCCTTAAAATTATAATAAAGTTAGCTATATTAACTAATAGGTCCTTCTAAAAGGGATATAATTAATAACTTAAGATTATAAACTATATTAAAGGCTTCTAGAACCTTAGTTAAGTTATTAAGTTTAGTCTATAGCCTTTATAGTGTCTTATCGTATTCTATATACCTCTTAATAGCTATATTAAGAGATTTAGTTAACTAAATAGTAGCTATAATTAATATAATAATTAAGGTAGTAATACTTAGTGGGTTAGCTATATTAAGCTTAAGATAAATCTAGTGTAAAGTATAAGTAAGAGGGGGTTACTAGATCTCTATATATAATAAAAGGTTTATATACTAGCTATCTATTTAATCTATAGTTAAATATTAACTATCTAGGAGCCTAAGTTATTAAGCTAATAGATTATTATAAGCTTATAAGCTTATTAAGAGCAATATATTCTATTAAATAGCTACTAAATAGTACTCTTAAAGAAAGAGATAATTCTATATTTCCTAGTCCCTAGGTTATTATAGCTATTATATTTAAGTAAGAGATTTAATTAGTAAATAACTAGGTGATATAAAATAAAACTAACTAAGGCTTAGCTATACCTATTAATATCTAGATATTATCCTTAAAAAGTATAGTAGTAAGATATTTCTTAGCACTAAATTACTTAATCTAATTAGTTACCTGAATTTATATAGGATGTCTATTAACCCTATAATATACCTTATATTATCCCCCTTAAAGTGCTTAACCTATAATATAAATCTATATATAAGCCTTATATCCTCCTAGCTATAATCCCTTATTACTATTACTATTATAAGGTAGCCGCTAGGGAATATTAAATAGCTAAATTAATTAGTATAGTATTAGGCATTATAACCTTAGCTGCCTTTACTTTTAAGTCTACTAGTAAACTATACACTAAAATTTAGTCTTTCTACTCTTAACCTAACTAAGTTTATAAGCTACTAATAGAACTATCTAGCCTAAGTTTTACCTTAAAACCCCTTTCTAAAACTAGTGACCTTAGCCTTAATATAGATCTTAGTGCTTTAAAACTTATATTAGAGTAGTATATATAAGCTTATAATAATATTAAGATAGAGCTTCTTACTTATTATTCCTAATCTAGTCTTAACTATATAAGCTTCTATAATTAGCTTAAATTAAAATATAGTAATAGTAATAGTATTATAAGCTTTTAATAATAGCTTATTAGATATAAGTCTACTATAACTATTATACTTAGCTTTATAAACCTATAAGTATTTAGCCTTATTAGTTAATTAACTTTACTAACTAATATTACTTATTTAGCTATATATCTACTACTAGTACTAAAGCTATTTAGATATATAGAGACTTAATTATAACCTTAACTATTAATTTAGAGGCCTACTTTAAAGATATCTTATAAAAACTTAAAGCTCTCTCTCTATATATTACTACTAACTCCTTACTAGATATAGTTATTTATTACTATATAGAGAAAGAATAACTAAGTATAGAGAAGGCTCTCTAGTTCTATACTATACTTTTAGAATAAATTAAATAGATCTAGGCTAAATTTTAAAATAGTTAAGATCTTAACTTAACTTTAAAGATACTATTTAGTAAGGGGCTTTAAGGTTATATACACTATATATACTTTAT